TCTCATTTTCAAGAGGGACCTGGGCAGAAGTCTGCAACACGCAGCAACCTGGTTACAAAATAAAACTAATGAATACATATGCACAAGTTTGTCTTTTAGGCACCTATAAAGTACTTTTCATGTCATTTTAGACAGACTTTTTAAGGACCTAAAAAGAATGTCTTTTTAGGTGCCTTAAAATCTTTTACTATTTTTGTTAAAATTGCAAAGAATAAAAAAATGATAATCGTGATGTAATATTTAAGAAAGTACCCAAAACATTTTCAGATTATAATCAACGGCATTAGCTCCAGTTCATACTCCAGACCAGATGGTGGCGGTATTGCACACTTTCATAAAAAAAAACGCCATAAAGAGAAGAAAAAACTTGAACGCAGGGAACAGGCGCTGCTCAAATTCGCAATTTTTACTCGCATAATATTCCCTTAAAAGTAGAGAGGGCCTTGACAATAGTTACTAATTTTTGTAAATTCAAGCTGGTGACGTCCTAATCCGAGTGAGACGGAAACACAAGGGGACAACAACCGATGGAAATGAAATGTTGGTCACAAAAGGAGCCGAAGGGACGAAGGATGCTAAGTGTTGCTAGCTGATGGTAAGTTTGCTTAATTATCTTCGTTTAATTATAAACAGTGCAGTAAAGATATATAACTTACGTTGGTTTCATAAATAATTATTTTATCAATTTTATTGTGACTTGTATGATTATTACTAAATTAATCATTCAGCTTCATGTTATAACTGCATGGAGGCTGTTTGTTGACTTATACTGTAATTCATAAACTAACCTGGTTTTAATTAAGCTCCATAAGACAGAGAGACTTTGATATTGTGAGGTTGTTGTCATAACTCGTTCATCAATGTTTTTATCTTCAACATGTGTTTGCAGTCTAAGCAAATGAAGCAGAGAGATCAGGAGTTAGAAACCTAAAGACTTTCTGTCTCAGAAGCAGCTCTGCTCCACCAGATCACCAACCAGCTCTGAGGATGAACCTCCACATCGTCTTCATGATGGAAGTTTGTTTTTTCAATGAGGAGCTGGCTACAGTTTCAACAGCAAAAGCTGCTGTTACCAACACCAAGGGCTTAATAAACATGATTTGATTTGAAGGTAACTGGACAGAATTTTTCCCCTTGTTAATCTAACATTTCTCTTCGTTGAAGAAGATTTTAAGTTATAATATTTCTTCAGAAAGAAACTCTTTGGCTCGAACTTCTTCATCCCAGGTTCTCCCGTCGGGCCGCGTGTAGCCACACA